GAACCACATTCGCCTTTCTCTCGACTGCAAATGGTTCCTTTATCGAAACATTTGTTTCATTAGCAAGTGGAACAGATACAGAAACTGGTATTGTAAATCTGCGTTACTCTTATTTGTATTATTGTATAATACAATAAAGCACCTTTGAAACCGTGTCTAATTGCTGAAAAAATGATGACGGTTTCTATCAGTGGTTTATCTTCTCCACTTTTGTACTACTTTGTCGGTATGAGAGCAGACTTAATATTGACGCTATAACAGTTGGGATTAATGTGAGAGTATGCGAGCGTTCAAAACATTTCAGGGGTCGCTGATATGCACTGCCACAATTCTTAAGTCTGCTTACTATAAGGAAATATAGAAAGTTAATCGCTAATATTGTGCGCATAAGAACAGAAAATTATCCGACATATTTGCAAGACGACTAAGAAAGAGATAATTGAGCAGCTCTTCGTTGAATTTAGACACCAACTTCTATTAAACCAGAGTACGAATAAAGGAAACTGTCTTTCAGACTGACAGATGTATTACTTGTGAGCGAGGTCTCAAAGTAATCGATTGAAAATGTTTATATATGTACATATATATGTATGTATGTCGTACATATATATATACATAAATATACACATATAATATAATATAATCTCAAGGACTGTCGTTTTTTGAAAATGTCCTCCAAAATCTTCATCCTCTGTTTGTTTCAAGTGTTTTCTTATGACCATGCTCAAATTTAGTATGACTCATGATTATTATTTGAACCAACATGTATCGGCCGGTACAGAGCCCATAAACACACCTCAGGACATATTGACTCAAATAATAGTTATGAAATATATTGAAATTTGAGCGTGGCTATAAAAAGCACTCGATATCAATGATGTACTGTTTCAAAAATACCAGCTGAGAACAATAGAGTGTACAACACTGCCGATCTAATGCTTAATTCACTTGAGAGCTGTGTAAGATGCTTGCCGTCGCCTTCTCTTAGTGCGGGACTGGGGCACCACGAGAGGACTGGCTTAAAACAAAGGCTCTGTCCGACTGACCAGGCTGCTTAAGACGAAAACACGTGTATCGCGCTGTACAAGAGCCCATGAACAGACCACATGACATGGTGGCTCAAATAATAATTATGAGATATACCCTCCTTCAAGTACGCACAGGACACGGAGGTGTTACGGTAACGACTAGGGGTGGCAGAGAGAAACTGGGGCACGGAGTATAAGACGTCAGCATGGGATACCCTTGAAGCTTTCAAACAAAATTGAAGCCTCAGAAATGAAGAAAAAGAGAGTGTGCAAGTACTACAAATAATGTCACCCTATCTCAGGTTATTTCGGTTAAATAGTTTTCGCTGTTCACAGTGAGTCATAGCCCACGGTGGCCTTTCTCATCTAAGAAGTTTCTCATAAGATGTAAAAATGTCAACCAAATAAGTAAAAATGTTGTGGTAGAGACCGATTAGAACTCTGAAGAAGGCGACATGGCATACGAACGTCGGCCATGTTTTGAAGGAAATATAGAAAACATCGCGAAAGTTTCCGAAAATAGTATAGTAATTTAGGAGGCTCTTCATTGCTAACGCAGCACAATGATTTCTATTCAAAGGCTTGCAGCCTCAAATATTGTTTTCGTTATAATATGTTTGAAAAATGTAGCTTGTAATAGATTCTATGAGGAAAAGATGGTACTATATAGAGATATACTTATTACTCAAGCAGCTTGCATAGCAAGAATGATCCAACGGTAAGTGGTGAAAGAAATGATGCGGGCCATGTGTGTAACACCAGTAGCAGCTTTTTCATACGAGCCAATATTACAGATAGTGCAGATTGCATCACCATTTCATTCATATCTTTTTCAAACATCCATCATAGACGAAGTTTTATGAATTTCCATGTAATTTCGACTGTGTTGAGAATTTCGTCTTTCTACATAAAAGTTTCTTCAAAACGGTCAAATTGATTCTTTTCGAAATCCTAGGATACCGTAGTGGGTACGGACTGTCGCTAATAGTTCTACCCAAAAGACGTTGATTGAGAAGTGAGAAAGATTGACGCTCGATCATCTTGCAACACACTCACTTTCGGTTAGAGAAGACCAGCGTAGAAAGATCATCAACGGTGCAGCTAGAACATTTACGAAAAAGAGCACTAAAAAGCCAATTTGAATAAGTAATCTCGGGACTTATGATATTGCAATGTTCCGCCATTAGCCAATTAAAGAAAAGCGAATCGAAGTAAGTTTTCTCTATGAAATAGAATATAACAGAAAACGTTAGATACCAGCTTCTCAGTGTCTCGTTTCCCCATTCCAAATCGCGCTGGAAAAAACCACCCGCATCGCTTTTTCGTAGTATCAAGTCCTGTGGAGATCATGAAGAAAGGGAGAGCTTCAAGATTCGTTAATATCGCCACCAACATTCTGGGATCTGGTGGCCTAAGTGTACATCTACTTATCGTTATCATGAGACGTCATGGCAGAAGGGAAAAATCCGGATCAGTGAAGTGATGGATAACGATTGTAAGAGAGGAAATGAACACAAATTATTCTGGAGCCTGTACTACCAATGAAGACAGTCTATTCAAGCATTCATGTGAGTATCTTTTTCGAAACCGAGCACCAAATGGTTTCGAAAATATTCATTTTCGAAGCTATGCCAATTCCACGTTTCTGAGATACGGTGATTCTCAGTACAGCGTTGAACATAATGTAATCCTTTTGAGTGTTCTCATGAGTTGTAAATGTTATTTATTGTTGTTAATATGTAAATGTTACGGAATTCGTATTGAAGGTCAAAAACTTACTCGTTGTTGCTACATCTTTAACAACAGTTGCACCTTTGCACTCCAACGGATCATAATTGACCTGAATTCTAAGCTGTCCCAAAATAGCCGAGATTATCGTATCGGGGAGAGAGCGCTACGACCTTGCTGAGAACATCGAATACCTAAACAGCAAAGTTTTTTTTTCAATTGGGGATCTATATACAAGTGTACAAAGCAAAATTGAATAGGTATGCAAGCTGTGTTTGTTGGGAGATTGTCGAACTATCACAATTTGGAGCTGACTCTTGGCGCTTCTCGGCAATTTGGAAAAAGCCTGACATTTGGGAGTGACAAACTCACCGTTTGCATTACCAGACGTTCAACAAATCCCTTAGCTGCCTCCTTGCTTGTTGCTATGCCAGGAGCCTCAATAGGAATACTGTCGGCTCCAGTGTAAGCCACCATGGAGATGGTGTAATTTGAAGCCGGTAACCGTAAAGCTTCTATTGCTCGCTGCAACAAGATTTTGGAGCTTCTTATTGCTATTGTTTCTAATTCAAAACCCACTTATCAATATGTTGCGGACCGCGTTTATATTTTGCCTAGCATTCACCGAGGACGCCGCTTGGCCGGTGTGCTCTATTGGCAAGTGTGGTAGCTCACCGATAAAATTAAGGTTTTTAGGTCACCAAAGGAGGTTATACCGTCATCAAAGTCAAGTATGATAGTAGAGATGTCAACAAGGTTATAGACAGCAAAAAAACAACGCATATCCAACCTCCAAAACACAGCATTTTGAGGGGTAAGGGTTCAAATTCCTTGAGTTGATGAATGCGCTCTTTTTTTCTTACTCCTTCTCCGTACTCGTCAGAAAACTCTATTTTAAAATTTCTCCAAAAGTTCGACATTGTAGAAAACGGGTTCTGAAGTGATTATTCTGAAAATTTGTTGTGAGAAATTTTGAAAAAATTGTAAATACGTCAGCATTCCATTGATGTGGATGTCGTATTGACAAGTAGGAATTTTAGGACAACTGGGGTTCTCACCAAAACCACGTTTATAAGAAGCCGTCCAGTGAATTTTTTCTTTTTTGTGATAAAGTGACTTCAAGATCAAGACTTCATTATTCACTTTATTTTCAACACTTTATTGATCCCTCTTCACAGTGTTTCTTTTTTCACTATGTGGATCTCAGTTATTCTAGCATTCAAATCGTTATCGTCTTCTTCTTGAACGTCATGGAATGCTGGTTGACCACATCTCTTTGCACTCTCAAAGATTGCTTGGCTATGGCGTTGCATAGGGCGTTCGTTGCCGTTCAACTGTCGGAGAGCGCTAGGGGTGGAAATCGGCCCCACGCGCCGCGACGAGCATCGCAATCATTCGGCTACGCCGGCTCCCTTTTAAATATAAGTACCAAAAAGTACGCGGGAAGTTCAAATAAACAATGGTTAACTACCGCGAGGGCGAAACGTTATCTTTGTTTTGTTAATAGAACGTGCTGAGCAGGTCTTCCCAGAAACCGAGCCTAGTGGTGACATATGTTTTTAGCTATCGAATGACTACAAAGTCATTGATAAAATAACAAAATGGTGCTATAAAGCAGCTGGAAATATATTCCACTTCAGATAGATATGGTTTTTTGTTAGAGAGTAGAAATTTTTAGGCAAGTGTGCGTTCTTGTTGCTACAATCATCATCATAAAGAAGTGTCTTCTGTATTTTCATTTTATGATTATAGCGTTTTTTCAGAAACCCTACTTTTTCTACCAGATGCCCTTATTTCCATTGTGGCACATGTCAATGCCAACCACGCGGCATAGCGGAGGAGATCGGTGCATTAATCTTCATGCATTAGACAAGGCAAGTGTTGAAATGTTAGATATATGCACTGGAATCAGAATTCATGATCTTATCTTTGAAACTGTAATTGCTTCTAGCCCTATAACAATTTTCTATTCATTACGTTGTCCTGCTGGCAACACTCCACATCCCGACACAGCTGTGGTGATTAGCACCAGGATCACTAGGGAACTAGTCGTCAAAGGTCTGGCCATATTTTTGTATGACTGCTCACTTCAGCTCCTAAAACAATGAACCTTTGCTTAAGTTAATTGGAACAGATTTTTTATTTTGATATAAGAGAATTGAAGAGTACCTGACCAGACTTATCTAAGGTTGGTGGCTAATAGCTAACATAGAGATGTTGAAGAATGAGTGGTGGCGCAAATATGCCCCGGTGGTGCAGTGGTAGAGCACGCGTCCCCGGACAGGATGAATCGCGAGTTCGATTTTCGCCGGAGGCCATGTCTTTGCTCACCACTCAATTCTCGTAGGAATATATAAATAAAAAAAGCAGTGAAATACTAGAATATTTTGAATATTGTAAAACTGATATTGTAAGAATGGAATGGAAACTCAACATTTGATTGTCAGAGATGTCTCAGAGGAAAACGTTTTAGCAGCTCTTTGTCATATTAGGGACCGCTAAATCTCTTCAACTATCTAAAGAAATTTAGGAGTTGCATGATGAATTCAGGGATCTTCAAAATGATTGCTATGACAGATTCTATTTATCGAAAGCACATCCAATCAATTAACCAAAATGGGGAGATATATGTCAATACTGGATAGTACGTGCAGGCTCACTAAGCAAAGGTTCACTAGATGCCCTATTCCCTAAGGAGCCACGGCTTGAATTCAGTTCCCATCATTTAACTCGTATCGCCGCGTCATAAAATCCTTTTTCTCGAAAACAAAAAGAAATATAGTACGGCAAAACGTCGCTATTAGATATAAACTTCCGAGGAAATATCTGCGAAAGGAAATATCGATTGATAAAAACTAAACAAAACCTTCAGTGTGAAATGTTTCTACAGCAAGATTTTTAAGCAAAAATTCTATTTTCTGACTTTGATACTCCAATTAAGTACCGTATAGCTCGTTATGAGTTCTTCTTTGTGTAGTGACAACGTCTCATTGCCAGAAAGAAGTTTGTTGAGAATTCACTGAAGGATTCAAAAAACGCGAGAGCGTTAAGATAGTTGTATAAATTTACCAATGTGAAGAAAGCAATAAAAAGTGGGGTGAGATTTATTCATAGAAAGAACAACTACGTTGAGGAATCGAGTTTTTGGTGAGACAAATCAGAAGGATTTTTTAGTTTATCGGAGTTAACTGTAGATTGAAATGTGAAAGGAACGTGGAGGTTTGTCGAGAGCGCGAGAGAGATGATTGAGTTGAAGCCCCTCAGGGTCATTTTGAAACATTTAAATTTAATAAACGTGGATGTTCATGGCGTGTCGTGATTTCTTTGCAATTTTTCACTATATGCAAACAGAACGAAAATTGTCATTTCCTATATCATCAATCGAGGTTTTAGTTGCTTTGCGCAACGCTTGCAACCTTTTTACTGTTAACCTACCTCTACAAATGGAAAAACGATCACCAATAGGAATCGACTTTTTTTCTGTCGTAGGTGGCTTAATCGATACAACATCTTTGACTTCTGTAGCGATTCAAAGTTCTCCGTCCAGAACAACGATCCTAACAAATTGTCATTACGTCTTACCATAGAAGGTACTGTATAGAAATGTTTATTAGAATTATTCTAGCTTTTTCGCAAGTCTATAACATAAAAACTCGTTGTTTAGTTTACAAAATCCGTGTGCAGCTTCTACATCGAATTCAGCAAAAAAGTACTGTCCATCACAAAATGTCTTTCATTATTTGAACCAGACTTGAAGCAGAATTGAATATAGACTACAAAGCGATCGAAATGATTTGTGGACCAGAATATTACCGCAGGTCAAAAGTGCCGTCATCGTCGTAACTGTGCTTTCATGAATTTTTATGCTCGATAAATAGAGTTGAATAAGCAGTTCCGTGTTGTAACAGTTCCGCGTCGTCTTCGTTGAAATGCTGAGCGCCACGGAATTTTGCCTTGCCATTCCTTGCACTTTCTACTTTGTTCATGAAAGAGGTATCAAAATAGTCGACTGCAGTGTGTGTTAAATGTTACAGAACTTCTTTAGTCAAAATGTTCAAAACCGATAATCATGTAAGCGTTTAGAGTTTCTTAAATAACTCATTACTAGAATGGTTACCTCAATGGAGCATATTACCACTTCATTATATCAAAATATGAACAATGCCACTACCGATTTTTTGTATTCTCACTGCTTATTGAAGTGATCAATAGTTTTTCATATGAGGCTTGCCAGAGACAAAGATTACCTCTTTGCGGACGATGAGGCTCATTACGACGTTCAGATGGGTGCGACGCTCGGACGGTTGCACAGAGTGGTGCGTTCTCCAATACAAATTCGGGTTAATTAAGTTCTCAGAGGAACATGATTATCAAAAAATAAGAAATTGTAGCTGACGAAACTCCTGCATCAATACTCATAGTAAGATTAACATTAGTGCTATCAAAAATCTTCCGCATTTTGGAGGAAAAACCACATTCTTGCGAAAAGGATTATAATCTCAACAGTTATTAAGTATTTTCTCCTGTCTTCTTCAGGTTTGTGTAGTCAGTCAATAGCATGAAAAAATCTGATTCTAATACTGAGCTTTTTGCTTGACAAGAATTTCACAGTACGCTTCAATAATAGTTAAAAGATGACGTTATGGACTCGCAATTCAATTTTTGTAACTCATAGCAGTGATATGTTTTCCCTTGTAGCTTCTTTGCTATGAAAGCTCGAATGACCATAAAAGTAAAGGTTTTTTGAGAGTGATAATGCCCTACTGTTTTAAAAATCCTTCTTTCAAAAATAATTTCTGTCGCATGCAAGGCATTTGAAGTATTGCGCGCGTGAACCCTCAGTTTTTTTCTAGAAAAGACTTGTTCTATCAAACTGCTGGTATTCACTCAGTAGCTCAGATCACATGAATTTGAAAGGTGCATTTTATTTCTTAAATGACTTTCATTATAAATTTTCAAGAATGCTCGAAACCTTACCCGAGGTCGGTACGCCAGGGCTGCACACGCGTATTTTGGAAGTCTCGCCCCTTTCATCAGTAGTCCACGCCCCACATTAAGCCCTGCATTGTAGAAAGGAGAGGGCGTATGTGGTGACAGCAGGGGAGCGAGACCTGTCAAACACACGTGTATAGCCCTGGCGTACCAACCTCGGGTAAGGCCTTGAACATTCTTGAAAATTTATATTGAATGTTTAGTGCGAGGCTTTGAAAACAGTCGATGCCACAAATCATTTTTGTTCTACCAGCCGAGATCAATCAACTGAGAAGTGGTGATGGCACAGTGTCGTTGTACACTGAGCTGTCGCCCCATACGCCTCCCTCCTTGCTTCAATGCAGGGTTAATGTGGGGCGTGGGCTACTGACGAGGGGCATGAGACCTGCGAAACACACGTGTATAGCCTTGGCGTACCAACCTCGGTTGAGGCTTCAGACATTTTTGAAAATTAATATTGAATGTTTATTGCAAGGTTAAAGGCAGTCAGTGCTTTGGGTATCAAATGACTTCTTTTGAGCTGAAACAGTCGGAATAAAACTTTGTTTCACATCTAAAGATTTTTCACTGGATTTAGTTCTTTCTATAAACGATCAATAACCGTTCGATAGCGCAAATCTTTAGCAAATTCAACGCAGTTCATTTTTGGAAAAAATCTTGGGGTGCTGTAGCAATCAAAACAACACTGCGTTTTGCACTCCAAAGGGTGGGATTTCACGACATAAATCCCAATTCACCGCACTTTTTGCAGCATACCAACTAACTGCAAAGCGAAATTTTTTTTACTGCTACAATACAACAGGGTGTTGTTTCCAAAACAAAGTCATTAGAGGAATAGCAGAGTTTCGAGATATCGAGCAATTTTGGAAAGTCTATCGGAAGAGCTTTAATCAGCGAGAAATGCTTGAGTGTGCAGGACACTTTTATTTTTTACTATTCAAGCGCTTTGAGGGGACTTTTCTGAGAATAAAACATATCTTTAAATTCAATGAGATTTGAGTTATTATGCAAATTTTCGAATTCTCAGAAAATAGCTCGTTTTGAGCCAATAGGTTTAGTGCCTATACTGGCGCCTGTTCGTCGACTCGTCGGCGTCGATTCCTCTAGAGAATTATTCAGCCTCAAGGGATCGATGGAACAGAGGTAGTGTGCTACTGATGAGTCCCAATATGGCGAATAGACGTCTATATAGCATTAGACCTATCAGCTCAAAGCAAGTCATGTCCATATCGGATTATTTTACCCACAAAAGGAAAAAATTTAGACCAGTGGAAGACGTCGCGCACAGTCATCATCCACAAAAAGAGTTACCGCAGGGATCTTCTCAACTATCGTCCAATCTGCTTGTTAAGCATACTTTACAAACTTTTCACAAAGATCATCCCTCTGCGCATACCAAAAATATTGGATGAGGCACAACCAGTTGAGCAGGCAGAATTTCGAGAGGAATTCTACTGCATGGGCCACGTCAAAACGGTGTCGAGCGTCACCGAAATCTGTCGGAATACCTGCCCTTAATCCTGACTTTCATCAACTATGAAAAACATTTGATAGCGCCAAAACGAGAGCAGTTCTATCAGCGCTCGTCAATTTGACGTCGAGTTATTTTGAAAAGGTTGTGTTATGTTAAATAATGTTTTAGTTATTCCGGCCAGGGAGTAATAAAAGATCAAGCGCGCTCCGGGTTAATCAACAGAGAGTCAAGATGGATCAGTCCATCTGAAGCACATAGGTGGAGTATGTAGTCTCTTTTACTATTACACCTCCAAAACTTGCAAGTGGTCTCAATAGAGCTGATTGCACTCGTGAGATCTAGACGAGGTTCACATATTATCTCCAGATCAGTCGAACTAAGGAAATAACTAGAGCACGTAAAATTGGCTCTCATAAATAGCGGTAAAAGTTGCAACGACGTGTAATGTTCAAAGTAGAGTCTAATTGGATTAAACAGAAACTTATTACGCATACGGCTATAAACCATGGTCGCCTTCACGACTCTAGAGATGTTTCAATCTCTAGAGTGTGGTAATAATCAAAGATTATTGAGAGATAAAGTTGCGCTGTGTGCAGTTGTGGTATCAATATTGAAAAATAGTTCATTGTTTTGTAAATGTTTTTGCCTTGTACTAACTAAAGTTGGCTTATTGAACTCCATTCTTTTGTACTGTTTCATTTACCGACCATAAATCCTTCTACGGACGATAAAACGTTGAACCCCATCACTGTGAGACAAAACGTGTCTTCATATAAGGATTAACAGTAATTTTTTACATGAAGTCATTACTTTGTGACTTGATGAATTGGAACCCCTATGAAATTCATGAA